ATGAAGATGACAAAATGTTATTGGACAATCTCTACGAAAATAGGAAAAATCTTCTGTAGATCTTTGTTTAGTCACGTAAATCCGACTTATCGAGACTAGTACCTGTCTGGAGAGGTTGTCCGACTTACAGCTTAACGAGAGTTTATATATGTCATCCGACTTATCGAGAAAATTTTAAATATGAAAAAAAGGGGCTTAGAGATTTCGTCCGACTTAAGCCAAATCCGACTTATCGAGTGTCCGACTTATCGAGTTTCACTGTGTACGTATGGAGCCAGCTAATTCGAAGGAAGGCATACCCGTCTATTCTATCCATTGTAAGTAAGTAATACCTTATTTATCACAAAGCGTAAATTTGTTTCAATGGATGATAATTCACTTAATTAACCAGGGAGGTGATAGTGTAGTCTGCCCGCTGTTGGCAGGCAGTCGGCGTCGGTGTGTAATGTAAGAATAATCTGTTTTGAAAGGATGTGTGAAGCATGTTGATGGTCGGCAGGGCGAAATAAGACCAATAGCAACATTTTTATAGAGAATGTGGATTTGACAATGGATTCAATTGTGTGTTTGGATTTGACGTCTAAGGTATTGAATTTCAATCTTTATGTTTTGAATTTATGCTGCAGCGGTTAATAGTATTGGCGATTGCTAAAGTCTATTTATATTAATGTGCTTTCTCGCAAGTTACAGTTTTATTTTATTATAGGCGTTATTGTTGTACGGACTTACGTGTTAAATAAATATTGAAAGTAGCTTTTACTTTGCCGAAAGCAAGCCCTTCAATAGGATTACATATGCACCACATTTTGTCATACTCAGATATGTTTTCGCTACAGGGTGAAAATACATCGCTTTTAGTGACAGCGGTTTGTGTATTACTTTCCCCGGTAAATGGACAAGCGTTTAATTGTTTACTGCTGGTGAGTACAGTATTATTAATATGTCTTTTAAACGTGCAAATTTACCGGTTTTTTGAATAGATTCGCCGTCGTTTTGAAATTTGAACTGTCAGTATTAGAATTATTATCTGGTGAAAATGTTGAAGTATTTGAAAGTAGCCAGCGTTGTCTAATTTGTGTCTTAGTAAAATATTTGCCTTTTTTCAAGCTGCGTTATTTCCAGACAACCAGAAAGCAAATTTATAATCAAGATCGAAGCAACATTGCCCTCGTCGTAAACTGAATAGCCAAATTAACTCTTTTTCCCTCTAATATTTACGTTAAAGAGAATAGTACAGTATTTTTGTTAATCCGGGATCAAATTCATCAAGCAAACTGTAGAGATAACGATATTTTCACCAAACAATAACAAATGGGATTCTATCGGTGGAGAATCCTCGTTACACTGACCGATTATGCGATACTCTGCATTATAACTAGTATTTGTCACCATAATGCACTTTATATGTAGTTACTTTCAACGATGTTTTGTATCAACTTGGTTTGTAGTCTCGTCAAAATTTCTATTCGTGACAGCATTCTTTCTCTGGTAAACTGATTGGTTACTCGGGGAAATCTTGAATTGCAATTAGCAAAGATCATCAGAAAAATATCGAGTGTGACATAATGATAACCGATTAAGGTAAATTAATTCAGGTTACGCAATTGGAGTAGGTTTTGTTTACAAAAAGTCAGACTTAAGCAGGTAAAGTCCAAGTATCTGCCCGCAAGGCAAGGTAAAAACCACTTAAAGTCTTGTTTCCATAAACGCAATCACAATTTTTTCATAGTTGAAAGACAGTCTACGAGTTACTTTCTCACTGAAGCTAGGTTTTCTTTACGAATCTAAGCTCGATTCCTGTCCGTTACTCTATCAGAAACCTCATTTGATTGATGACACACATTAAGGGCGACGAAGAATTATCCAACGACGTTATGGATCTAGTTGACTTCCAAGGTGGTGCTGGCGAGGGAAACAAAAAAGCGGAAGAAGAGCTAAAGCAACCGCTTGAGGAAACTGATAAGAGTCAGGAAGACGAAGCAGGCAAGGAGAAAAATGATAAGAAGGGTCAAGCAAATGGAGCCAGTGAGAATAATGAAGGTGAAGAAATGGAAGAGGACGGCGAAGACGAATATGAGGTTGAGGCTATTGTGGATCATAAGAAAACCAAGGTAAAAGACGTTGTTGATGTTTTTCACATACTGTAGAATTTGAGATATTCCTTGCCCGGTAATATTAACATATAAATTGATATTTTTCTGCAACAGGGTATAATGAAGTATTACATTAAATGGAAAGGTACACATGCATTCTCACAGTCGTTTGCAAGTTTATGTTTGCATTCATAATCATCAATTACTATCTCTTGAACGCGCTTTTTTGAACACAAAAGGGTATCCCTCGGATGAGAACACATGGGAGTCGGCTGATAATCTGTAAGACGAGATATAGTTATAATTCATTATAGTTAGCAATCTCATCCACTCGACTGACTCTTCTCTTCTCTAAACCAATGTTTTGACGTACTGTTCAGTAATTGCGACGATCTCGTACAAGCATACTGGCTACAGTCGAAAGAGAGAAATAACAAAGAGAAGAAGAAGAAACACAAGTATAAGACCAAAGGGGGATCTTCGAAACGCTCAGAAACACCTGATCGTTTTGAAGAAAAAGATGCCAAGCGACAACGAATTAGAGATAGAACTGATGAGAATGATAAGACGCGTCGAAATCGAACAAAGCATACAAGAGAGAAATCGGACAATGACGAAGATGAGGATTGGGATAACCAAATTACTTCAGTTGAGACTGTAACGAGGGATGAAAAATCAAACGAATTAATGGTTTACTTGCGTTGGTTAGTTTGATTATATACATGTGTGATTAGTGCAGATTCTAAATTGAGCTAGTGTTCAAGATTACTGCGCGTAAAAACTTACACTTTTTTTTTTTAAATCTGTTAATAGGAAGAATGGTGACACGTCTAAACATACCGCCAAGGAGGCTAATAGGAAGTGTCCCCAGAAAGTAAGCACGTCGGAAAGAGAGTTTTTGTTTCATATATTCGTGAACCTTTTTTCGGATCACTCACATTATTCATTTACTTACATTTGAAACAGATGATAAAGTTCTATGAACAACGCTTGACGTTTGCGCCCGCAGCAGATAAGAAGGCTTGAGGCTACTGCCGTATGTACATACAATCGATATGTGCAAATACGTATTCGATGCGCCTCTAATAAAGGGAAAGCATTGTTTTCCGCACATAATCTAGTGTAAATAGTAACCGGGATCATTCGATATTAATATGAAGTCTTACTTTGCTGATTTGAATCAGCTATTTCCGGACAATGTTCCGTCATCACGATCGAACAAATTCGATTGTCTATTACATATTTTGATTGTTTACAATCGTGTGTTCTCTAGCATGCCGCTCACTTTTTTTGACAAAAACGCGTTTTCTTCAAGAAATAAAGTAAAAGACAGACGTGTCGGCGTGCATGTATCAGCGTTAACTTGTGTTATTTCATATAGGATGCACTTATGAATCCCGTAAATTACAACGTGATGCAATAGTGGCTGAAGTATCGTTTTCATCATAACTTTAATTACGAGTTGTAATCGTAAATAACTGAACAAGTTGGCAATGAGGACCCAGATTTCTCACACGGGCTTTATGGTTCTCAACGAAAGTTGGAAAACTGCATTATTTTCTGAATGACTGTATGTCAATTAGTAAGCGATACAATTTAATGGTTTAAAATTGGGTGAGGAGTCAAAAAAAGTTGTTAAATATGCATTGGGAAAGCTTTTGTACAAGAAAGACTTTTTTCTGTTTTGAAAGGCGAAATCTATACTGTCAGGTTTATAAGCATAAAATCCGAAGCAATTCCAACAGTTCAAATCCCAAATTTTGGACTGTCATTGGAAGAAGAGTCTTGCATAAAGCGGTATATGTTAGACAAATTCGAAATTTTATGTGACGCGGTGGCGATGGGAAGCTTGATTTATTTAATATAATGTAACGTTTAACGCGTCAACTGAGGTGCATCTAATTCTCAAAGATACTGTGCTTCCTATTGTCAAAGTATAATTCTCACTTATACTTCATGCACTAGTAATTTTTTCAAGATTGCTTAGACAAATTTCCAATACTAAACAATCGACGCTTTCTCGATAATAAATCCTCAATTAATAATATGTTTAGGTTTAAAGGTGTATTAGCTATAGAAAGGGCGATAAATTTCGAGAACGAGTAAAAGGAATCGTAAAAAGACGCGTCAGCCGCTTCTAGTAAACGAGTTTGTTTCGTACTGATTACAGGATTTTATTTTAACCTGTAAATATTAGCGCAAAGTAAATAGATGACACAAGTCTTGGGCCTGTTACGCGTATGATTTGACATCGAAGTACAACTCATTGACACTTTCGTGGCAGAGCACATTTTGATGTCCGTATTCGGATACCGCATGTTTTAACAGTGAACCGATGACAGTCTTGTTATTGTCGATATTTTTTTAATAGTATGTAATACTATTAACAATTTTATCTCTTTGTTCACAATTCTCTTAATTGACGTGGTTGCGGTAAGCATCAGTTTGCAAACGCATTCTCTCCCCATATCTTGATTTACAAACTATGCACATTTTGAATTTTCCGAAACTGGCTAGCAAACCAATTGTTAATACGTTTACCGTTTATAACAAAATTTCAGTTTTTCTACTCAAAGTTACCCAGCCTTTAAAATATGTAACCTACAACATTTGACAAGTTCAAGACTTATATTATAATGCAATCTTACATAAATCCAACATTGCTGCTGTAACGAGTGGCATGTATTGCGGACTGCAACCTCAACGATCAATCATTCAAATTAGGGAGAATGCTATTTGATTCACGTCACAACGATAAAGAGGTATGATAGCTCGTAAACAGCAATGCTTCAGACATCAGTCATTCTGTGAGAGTATGTTTAGTTTGACAAAAACAATTTAGTTTTGGGTTTGCCCAATTTAAAATTATTTACCGGACGCCTTTATATTACGATCTGTAATGTTTCTAACTTAGAATGTTGTTGTGGGCAAGTCAAATTATCCCCATTGTTCCATACAATCCATCAGCCGTAGTGTGATCGGAAAAGTTCTCGTCAGAGATTGTAGATTGATTATCAATGGATAAATCTTGAAAAAATTTCCCTGATCGCGCAGTCTGCACTGTAGATCATAGAATAAGTGCGCTGAAAACACGTGGGAGTTTCATTCTAACGTTGCAATTTAACAGGTGTCCGACTTCTTCTTCGAGCAATGATCGTACCAGGATTAGCATAAGATGCTATGCACAGTATGGTCTCTCTACCTTTTGTTATTTAGACCGAACGGCGTTTGTTTTTTATAACACCACATCACTGCTCATAGGCCAAGCTACGAGGATAATAAGTTATTGTAACTTCCATGTGACCGATGTCGGATTCATGTCACGATATTACAGGTTTGATCGATGAAAATCCCCATGGCCTTGAAAGTCTCCTTCCGAGAAATCTCACGAAATCATCCAACAGCAAGATCATATTTTATTAGAGCTCTAGAACAGTCGCAATCATAAGAATATTCGTTCTCGGATTTGAAAAGAAAGATACGGCCATAAAATGTGCATGTCTCTTATTTGCACATAATCTGTACGTGAGTTGTTGCGACTTGACTTGCAGACATGAACGAACGAACAGAGAAGCATAGAACTGCTGGGTGAAAACTCGGAGACAGTAGAGCATGTTCTGATGATGTAGAGCTCTCGGGAAGACAAGAAACAGTTCAACAGGGAGGTAATATCATATGATAGATGGCGAAACAACGGATATTGGTGATTTGATGGTTTGTGGTCACCATTTGATATAGTGTTAAAACTTTTTTATATTATCCCATCCAACAGCCAATCCGATAAAGAACCTGCGGGCATACTCGGATGAATCGTTGGCGGCGGAACTGGCTTATCCAGTTACGGGAACATTCATCATAATCCAATTGTTTGCGATTTTTCGGCTAATACTACTGGGTGTGCAGTAGTTTCGTTGGCGAAACTACATATTCATGGTTTGATAATTGGCAGAACAAAAATCATGGTACTATTTACAATCGTATAAATTACAAAGTCTAATTACTCGACTTGCTAATTATGAACTGATTTATTCCAGTACTAACTATAATACTAACTATAATATTATTTACCCAGACCCTAGGCCACGCCAATTGATTGAATTATCATCTTTCCCCATCGGTTACGGCTCCGTCAACAGGAATTGCCCCAACCAACTAGTTATTTACCTCAACACTATCAACTTAAACCTGTTCAGTCTTTCGTAACCAATTGGGTCACAGCTGCATGGGAAGATATGCAAGTAGATGAGCACATCTCAAAAGAGGAGTTGCTTGTGTTTCTCCAGGATGGTTTGTTGCAGGGTTTGTTGTGTACTCGGAAATCCAAGAAAAAGTCCGAAGCTAATAGAGAGAAAAAGGCGTTATAAAAGGTACAAGATGTAATCGTGTTTTACGTGAGTAGAGTAGATTGTATAGATGACACTCGAGTAAGATAAGATGGATTGATTTTATTAATTAACGATACTATTAATGAATCTTTGAATAGGTCAACATCATGTTACGGGAGGGGGGTCTTGTTGATGGCTGTTGCAAAAATGGATGCACGGATCAAGTGAAAAAGCTGATGGATTGCCATGTTACCGTTAAGGAAAAGATCGAGCTTGATGATATCCAATGCAACAAACAGTACATAAAAGTTTTTTTTCCCCCCATCTGACTTCGGATATGCAACTGATTGAATAAGCAATCACAATGGGATGAAATCCTGTGTGTGAGAAAAGTATTTCTACAATGCATCGGATGGTTACACGGTAAATTACGTAACTAAAAATACACAGGACAATAGATGGTGAAATTACTTCTAATTTCGCATTCATTCATGATCAGCGGCACAAACAACAAGCGGGTGGGCTACAAACCAGCAATTTCTCGGTCCATTCATGCAGCCAAAGAAAATTGTAATTGCATCCGCCACTTGTCGGAATAATACCTTTTCGAAACCTTATTATTTCAAGATTGTGATTATCATATCTCGCCCTCCTCGGAGAGATGGGGGGGATCTGATACATTGTTTCCAGCTCATTCTTTCTTTGTTACATAATAGTTGCCACATATATTGCTCGTTTAGTCCCCCATTCTCATTCATTACCCATTTGCCCTACACGCATCCTGTGCATCAGCCTGATAAAGCGAACGTATTTAGACAAATTATGTTCCCCTTAAGGATAAATATATACTGCAATATGCGGTGGCTTGGCGATCAGATGACGTTTTGTATGTGCAACTTCGGAGGTTTCATTCCTGTATTGCAAGGCAACCAGCAACTGAACTGACTGGCAACAAAGACTGTTAAAAAACTCTAATCGCGTCTAGGTGTAAGTGTTACTCACGTGAGTTCATTCAGTATCATTCTTTTAATCCTTTACCATTTGTCGTTCTCATGGTCAACTAGAGATCTTCGCGATTAATTAGACATTTGATCATGATATATAGATGTTGCCGGAACCCTATAATTCTTTCGAAGGATGCCTGTGCAAGAAAAGAAACGCCATTTGATCCACATTTATCGCCACATGTTTAAATTTAGGACCGGATCATTTCCTATGACATCGACATCTTGTGGGGATGCAGAACATGAGCATGGATTGCTGTCTGTCAGTAGACAATACAAATGACTATGGCAACACACTAGTCTGGGTACCACATCTCATACATCGAAACATTTCCCCATCTTTAATGTTGTGCGCTGGGGAAGGGGGGGGGATTGTTGATATCGACAATAGAAAAGTGCTTTGCAAAACATCAAGGGACATTTTATTGCATGCTCGAAACAATTGCAGCGCAACCCGAAACAAACGCATACATACAGACAAACGGCCCAATCAGCTGTAATTGACGCTAACTGCTGTGCACTACCGCGCGGCACACTGTCGAACGCCTGCCTTTCTATGACGAATCAAACATATTTTATATGCAAAGTTAAAGAAGTCTCCGTTAGGATGCTCGTTCGGGTTTTAGAATTCTGCGTTTCCGTATAAAAAAATCAGAGTCAGGTTTTCCGACCGCAGGACGTCAAGATCTTTGTGCGAACACATGAGAAATGATAATAACTACCGGAACACGGTCCAGAGATTCATTAATATCTGCTATTGTTCTACGCTGGTCGAGATATATGCCAAACGGTCAATACAGTATCCCAGATCATCGGACGGACGCGGGTTTCACAAGGGCTGATGCTTGCATTAATATTAAACAACTTGAAACAACCATTCAAGGGTTTGCTAATGTGACTTCATCAATTAGCGCGTTTTACCGGACTGCATCTTGGGTTCTGGCCATTGTGAAGGGGGGGGGGGGTCGTCAAGATGAACGCAGCGGACGCAAAGGCATAGTAGCATGTAAAATGCTCAAACGTCAGTTAAGACATTGACACAATTTTGGCTTCTAATAGACACATGTATGAATGCTTTGCGTATTAACCGGTGATATCTCACACTGAATTAGCACCCACCAAATTGTCAGTAACAAGACGTGCATCCGATTTTCTGGTCGCCAGTACAATCACAGATCTGTCTGTAGTTCACATCTCACACCGGAGCATGATACTGTATCTCCATAATGGTTTATTTTTGGGGGGAGAAAAAAAAATTGAGGTTTGATTATTTTATGCAGAGTTTATTATATTAAAGGGGAGTTTAAAAAAAGACCAAACCGAGCAAAGTGTTACATGAAAAAATATTGATATCATTTTACGTACTTGGTTATTCCGCTAAGGCGAATTGGGTTATCAAAAGCTGAAAACCCTTGAAATTTCTTGTGGCGTTGTAGACAAAATCATGGGATCAAATTGTCATCCCATACAAAATGCAAACAATGCTTACGCCATTAGCAGGCTGTCCATGTATAGCACAGGCTGTGCCACTAGCAAATCAAAGTCTAGTCTATAACCATAAACTAACAACTTGTCACGCTATTTGTGCAACTTTTACAATCACCGAACCTTGAGATGTCGATTAGTATTCCCTAATTGATTGGTCAGAACGGATTCTCTTTACGTTTATTTATGTAACCCATAACTATCATGTGGTCTCCTATTCATAATTAACGAGCTGACAAAGTAAAAAGGAACGAAAAGGGTTTGTATAGCGGCAACTGAATTTTTAGTTTTTTTTCTGGGGAGAATCAGTTACATGTTATTGCAAATGTCATAGCGCCGCATTGTGTGATCTATCAGTCACCAATTTCTTTCCCACGATTTGAAGCGTATTCTAACGACAGAATGTGATTGGATGTAATCTATGACACATGTGAATCTGGCAAACGAGGCGGAGGGAGGTGAGCGGGGTGGGGGGGAAACTCTTATGCACATGGTAGTTGTAGAAGTTTCTGCTGGAATGGAAGGTTGACATGCGCGGCAATTGATCACAGGGTTGTTCATCTAAGCCACTTTGAACAACTATCTTTTTGTGTTTGTTCGGGGCAACGTAACCTTATTGGGTAAATTCGTTGACCCCGAGAATTTTTTAAAACAGGTCAGTTCCTAAACCGAGCTTAATGTCAGCAGAACTTTTTTCTTTTAGGAATTCAAGGTCTTTGCCTGATTGTTTGTTCCTTGAACCTTGTTTTGTGCTCAAAACCTTGTAGGTTCGGCTTTGTGATCAGGTAGCATTCATTCCCATGCTGCTTTTAGCAAGTCACTGATTAGTACACACTATGTATAGCGAAGTCAGAGTCACCAAGACCTTTTGTTTACACAGCGTACAGAATTAAAAAGATGTTGTACTCTGTAGCGGTTATTGTGCATGGTTATTATGGAATTGGTGAAACAACAAGAGATGGTCGACAATACAATTAATCAGTCTTGCAATAGCTAGACTGTCTTTGAGATTTTCTTTTGATGGATTAAAAGACCTACAATAACGATGGTATAACAATACTGATATTAATTATAATAATATAGTAATTTATACACTACTAGTCAATGTAAATCGGCTGTAAGCTGTAAGGCAATGCAGTCAAACAAAAATGTTTACCGAAAAGGTTTATGCAGCATGTATGCGGACAGGCAGGCATACTCCAAATAATTTTATTCCATCTAGAGTCCTTCCCTCCTCCCCACCCCGCATAAAAAACTGTGTATATCTGTCCCGTCATTTGGCATACACTACACTTGCATATTGAATGTCTTTTTGTGCGTTTAGAATTCGAACCATTTTATTTTTCCCCATCGATTGACAAGCTAGCTTTTCTGTCCTTGTGACAACAACAAAGTGAGTTACGATTGACAAAATGGACTGCATTGAAAAAGGAAACCATTTTCAGACTGTCTTTCACTGCAATCCATGGTCGTGTGATGAGTTGCAAGCTTGTTATGCATACTCCGTGTAGCCCTTCATATGCTTTGCTAATTTTTTTTTGCTAATGCATTCTTATGGACGATACACCATTGTTTATCTGCTTTTCCGTCATTACTTGTTAACGTTAACGCATTTAAGGTGCAACATGCCTCAAATTCCTGTAATTATGTGTCACAAAATCTATAAATAGTAGGTGGCGTTTCACCATTGAGGAAATTGAATTATTCGATCGGAGATGCGTTTATCCGAATGAAAATTGGGGGTAGGAGGTGGAGGAAAAGGCACGGAGGCATTCTATTTTCTCAAACGTCATTGTTATTGGGAAAATGAGAGGAAAAAAGTGATCAAAGGAACTGAATAGACTCAAAGCTGTTGATATATGAAAGAGTGTATGTGTGTCTGAGCATTTGCGATGTTTATTATTTAGAACCGATAGATTGTTTGATCGCATCTATTTTGAGAGAGTGATCGTCCGAAACAAATAATTCAGAACAAATGACAATAATCAGCGAACGCCCATTATGAGCAATACAATAATAGCCATACAGACCAATAAGGATTTATGTTCATTCATATGGTCTATTTTTTACCTCTGGGTAGAGTCGTTGTGATATCCTTGTTCTGATCCGGATAGCCAATGTCTGTATTATTCATGCAAGAATTCTGACAGGGACATGGAAATTTTTTCCTGCTGAAAGTGAGTGCGACTCACAGGATGCGTACAATAAATATGATGGTATAATCATGCATTCATGTGCATGTTAATAAACGATTGTATTGTTCTAATTTTTAAGACGTCCAAAATGACACAGGTGTGATTAATAATCATTTAATCCATCTACATCACAAATTGTACTTTATGACATAAAAGGCTGGAAGAACTTCTCCAAATCGGTAAAAGACTCAAAACCCACGTTTACGCTTAATGCATTATTTTTAAGGATGGACTAAACGTTAACAAATAGTACGGAGATCGATGTCAAATATTTGATGAGGTGAGGTGGGAAGGGTGATTGATGATGGTGGTGAGTGGGGCAGTTAATCGAACAACGGGGGCAATTTAGTATGAAAGGATAGTCAGGAGAATTGGAAACATAATTGAAAAGATAAACTTGTAGAGAAGTACATGTGTTATATGAATTAGGATAAAGGATTGGGGAAAAATAACGTATACATGACTAATAATCCAGCAGTATTAGCAATACTTTAATTATTACAATGATAATCCAATTAAAGTTATGGCGCCTCCTCCCTTTGAATACAAGTATCGCACCATTTACTGTCAATCTGTCTGTTACAGTTGCTATTTTATTTCACTTGCATTTGAACAATTTCCCAACTGCAGGGGGAGTCACTCTGTGGTTACTAACGTTACTGTTTGTTGTTTGATCTGTGTATATATAAAAAAAAGAGTGAGCATTGTTGTGTTTCATGAGCATATGACAAAATGTTAGGATTTACAGTAAATGAGAGAACATTACATCTACCTTGTAGTTACAAACTGTATGCTATTTGTTAACCCTCGCCTCTCCCCGTATCTAAAATTAAACTTGTGTGATGTGAGACTGATAGACTACATGATTAACCTGCGAATGACGTTTTTTTTTTTCAAAACCCACATCAGCAAGATTGAACTGCAGTTACGTTTACGAGATTTTTGAACAAAAAAAAAACTTTAATTTCCTCTTTCCATAGTCACCTGGACGTATTTGGTATGTATTAATTCATATATAGATTTCGTAACGAATTAAAGGTATTGTTGGGATGTTAGTACAGCAGATAAAAACGAGCAAGAAAAGGGGTATGATTTGAATATTCGAGTTTATTCGGTAAATCAATGGAAATTCTGCCGGTAGACATTAAACAATATGTCAATTGATGAAGCGTATGTGATGTACATATATACATACATATATACAGATGACATACTAATACACAGAATACATAATACATAATACACAACACATATAACATGACATACACACTAATACACATATAACATGACATATAACATAACATACACATCACATACACATCACATATAACATGACATACACATCACATATAACATGACATAACATACACATCACATATAACATGTAAATAATCCTTATACCGTATACGTTACCCTCAGTCACCCAAGTTTCTTTGTGACAATCAACTTGAATCGGAATATACGAGTTGGGGAAATGAACTCTCGACCCTAAAGCATGGATAAGCGGATATTTGATACATAAATAATGGGCGGCGCTGTTAAATGGGAGTAACAATAAATGCAACAATCACTAACCAATCTCATAATTCAAGCATATGAATAATATGGTAATTAATGCATCCGTTTGTATAGTCACTGACTAAGTACAAAACATTACAATAACATGTAATATATACATTGTCAATTATAAATAGCGTTTATTGTAACTATTTATATAAATATAAAAACATTACATTATTTATATGATGCCATACTTTATTATTGTATTTTTTACGCGATAGACTAAATAATTTTTACTCTACAATACCCATAGCCCACTATTCAATTGCATCTGAAAACTGTCGAATCAACTTCGTCTATTTCGTGTGATTTCAAACAAACATAATTATGTATCTCCCATCCCATCCCCTATAACCTCTGCCGCAAAATTTCTGCCCGTTAAATTTAGGTACTCTGCTCAGGCCCTTTCTCTCTTCTTCCTCTTTTTCCCCACCTCCGTTACTAGGTGTTTAGTTATCGTATCAAATGGCTCCCACTGAGCTCAAAATCAAAGGAAAGACATGTTTCTCGCATTTGTCCTCAATCGATACCGACGAAGACCTCTCAAAGACTTGGCGTCTCATGACCAAAGTGAAAGACGCCCTTGAGTATGGTCGCCGATTGGAAAACTTGTCCTGGAGATTATGGTTCATGCATCACCTCATAGTCTACGACCAGAAAAGAAGCAAAAAGTGCTTTAGAAAATTATCTACCGCTACAACAAAAAAGCTGGAAACGGAAAAATCCACTGCTCTAGACATGTTGGATACTCCAAACTTCAAGTCAAAGTCCTCCGATAGCAGTTTTCTCGAGAAAAAGGGTAAGAAAAAGGCCAGAAAGCATGGCTCTAATGCTGCTAAGCGTCCCGACGCAAAGAAACCGAAATATGCCTCGAGACAGTGTTCGATGCCATCTTCCGAGACGTTTGTGAAAATGGACACCTCTCAAATGGACATTGATGACAAGGGAGCTTTGTCCGTTCAAATCCCCTCGTCTGCTTCTACTGAATCTCTGACAATGAGCCCTACCCATAATGATATGGTCATGATTCAAGGTTCTCCCGAAAGCACAAGTACAATATCTACCAATGATGACCCGAACGACATGCAACTGACCGAGCCGGTCGGTTTGAACGATATTTACACCGTATTTAACGAGGATTTCTTGCGTGGCTCTTTCACCGACGAACATGCATTTGTTCTTCATCGGTATACAACCGACCAGGAGGAAACCCAATCGGTTATTCTTCAGGATAGCTACGTGGGCTACGGATCGGATTTCCATTCCGACCTACCTAGCATTGGCGTCTCTTTAAACCAACTTCTCCGCTCCGTCTACAATAACTATTCTTCTGATTCCTCCGAACCCACCTCGCCGTCTGAAATGGATTTGATCAATAGTCAAGGATACGTCCAGTCGGACGCTCAGACGAATCCAGGACTTCAATATCATCACCACCTCACCGAACAAATGGTGGCCAGCCCGTCTAATGCTGTCTATGTACCCCGTTCGACGTCTACGCCGACAATTGACACGGATTTAGCAAACAATCTGATGAACGTTTTGGGGACTCCCATGAATACGCCAGTGACTGATATACCAAGCCTTGGTAGTGGGATGATGTACATGAACCAATATCAATCGGAGCAGTCGACTGTACAGCCAATATCAATATCGCAGAGACAGACGAATTCGACTGGGAATAATCAGGCGTCCGCTCGGCAGAATCCAGAAAATAGAGTAAAGAAAGCCCATTCGGGCGGTGAACAACAGTGTTTCAATTGCGGTGTTACGTCTACACCGCTTTGGCGACGATCAGCAAATGACGAGCTACTATGCAATGCGTGTGGTTTATAGTGAGTGTCATATTTCTGTTAAAAACAAAGCTTGATTTTTTATTAACCAAAAAATTGGGGTTATATGGTCAAACATTTATCGGGTCTTTTTTTTGTCTCTTCAAACAATGAACTAGTCTGATTAACAATATTTTTAATTTCAATCAAAAGACATGTCATTTATTGATTACTGTTGCTTTACTTATTATAAAACTAGCTTGAAGCTTCACAAAATGGACCGGCCGAAAACTATGAAGCCTCACATAGTTCGAAAGGATGCTAGGGATGACGAGGCATCTCAACCCGTTTGCACAAATTGTGGCACAATGACAACACCTTTATGGCGTCGAGATGAAGAAGGACAAACACTGTGCAATGCATGTGGCTTGTAGTAAGTTTTACGCTACTGATATATGTTGCTGGCAGTTGTTTAGAGTTTATTATATACAGTTATGTAACGTTTTGTCACAATTTTGTAGTTTCAAGTTACATCACGAAAAAAGACCCCTGTCCATGAAAACGGACATCATAAAGAAACGGCAACGGTACGAAAACGGACAAAACCCCAATCGGCGGACAGCCAAGAAACAACGGGACAGCATAACGCAACAAGTGTCGTCGCCACGGTCGACATCGCCGACAGAGGCGCAAACACAAACAATATATCCTTCAATTGGAGTGACTACTTCACCGAATCCTTCTCCAATTGGGATAACTACTTCACCGAATCCTTCTTCGGCACGGACATCTACGTCATCCATGAACGTCGCCAGTAAAGTATCGCCAATAAGTGCGACAAGTATTTAAACACACTTTTTACTCGGTTTATTATTTGCATAATTCATTCATTGTACACTATATTTCTCATACGATTGATGTTCATGCGCCACTTCATTTACAATCGATGACGTGACGCATGGATATATATACACGGCTGACTCTCTCATTTGTAAAAGTAAGTTGTTAGACATTATACAAAATTTATATTATCGTTATGGAGCCACGGGCATTTCAACGTCTATGAGTCGCTGTAATGCTGGAACGACTGTGGTGTTTGTAAGTGGTAGTATAATCGATGTGGCGTGAAGCTAGCTTTGGTTAGAAGAATTAGAGAAAAAAAACTCGTGTCTGATACAATAGACATTAGTTGATGTTCGTCTATTTATAAAAGACACTTAAAAAATACTCGACTATCACCCAATCAAAGCGAGGCGAAGAAGCTTTGGTCAAATGAGAGTAATAGCCATTGGGTTGGGAGAGGTCGAGGATTGAATGTATTTTAGAAATCAAGATGGGTAGTAATATTAGAGATGGTGGCTGTTGGAGCAGATTGTGGCGGAAATGTACACCCCTTTAACAATTATCAATCATAATATTATTCAATGCTATTGTTTAATAATATGCGCTAAGTTATGTTTCAAATAAGAATAAAATGGTCAAATTGTATAAAAATGCATAGCATATAATATCACATTGTTGTATTAATGCCCTAATTTAGTTTATGAATCGTACTTTGTAATGGAAAATCACAGGATTGACGTACATCGTATTGATTTGATTTGGACAATAAAAAGGGGGAAAAGGCAAGTCAAATCAATGATCTTTACAAACTTGGCATTAGTGTGGGTAGTAATCATTTCCCAACAGTTCGAACAACACCAAAGACATTACACAGAACTTTGATATTACACAGGTAAACCGGTCCTACGTGAGGTTTAAAGGGGTATTGGTTGGATGTGTCATTGCTATTACCGTTTAAATCTTACATTTGTTAACCTTCATTGATCATCTGATCCTTTGCTTGTATTACGGATGACTCGTTTTAATAAATTAGAAATGACAACAGTTTGCTTGTTTGTATCGCGAATTGTATGTTTTGATTTGTTCTTTAACACCCCCCGCTCTCCCTCCGATTAGTTGTTATTGTGTATACAAATTTATCTAGGGGAAAATGATTATACGGTAAACTTGTACTTTTGTTGTCTCCAAGAGCTGAAAAAAACATTTCGCTGTATAAAATGTTTAATCGTTATTATTTCTTTTAGGCATAGTGCATAAATGTATTGTGTTTCACGGTAATATTCGTTGTGTAAATCATCATTGTGTTTCGGTCAAAGCCATGGTCCAATACCCACCTCACATATTATGCCCCACTTTTTGCCAAGGTGTAAATAGAATCCCCAATACGATTCATCCGGCTTCTAGAAATTCAGAGTTACCAACAAAACCGACATACCACCACAAGAATTCAGAATTCATGAAACTGTAACTGAATTTCTTTTTCTCAATTAGTATTGAAGTTATGACGTACATGGTATTTTAATGTTCCGCTTGTTCCCGAGTTGATCATTCTAAACTCGGAAAGCATGAGTTTACTAATTCCAGACATCTGCTGGTCAAGTGATACCAGGAGAACGATGTCTGATCTAGAACACATTTTCTTCGTTCAACATCCCATTAAAATTTCATCGTTACTCTGTTGTAAACATGTGGGGGCCTGCATAATAAGGTATTAATATTAACATTTTCCTTCCAAATCCATTATAACATCCGCGTATGTTATGTTTGACACGTTCTTGTCTTACTCACTTTTTGTGACTACATTCCAATACATAGAGGTACCGCTTTAGTCTGTATAATGTAGATTTCTGGCCACCAAAATTCGATAGCGCGCATGAGAAATTTTATTATCAGATAGACATTAACATGAGAAAACTAAGCAGACCTCAGTTGATTATAGTGTCAATGTATACTGTGCTGTCCAAAAGCCAGCAAGCAATTCTGCAAGAAATGTGACGACCAAGTATTAATCCTAATTATTACTTTGAATCTAGACTAAGGGCTTGGAAAAAATTTTAATGATTGCCCATCACATTTAGCTTCAAAGAACTGAAACATTTGATAAAGATATTCGCCGTATCGCCAGCTTCCATCGCTGCGTAATTGACTTTACATTTTTTTAACTATACAGACTTTCAACGGGTGGTTACTATCCAAAATAGCTATCCATATTATAAAATGACAACTGGTATGGATCTGGAACTGCATTTTAGGATATATGTAGTACTTTTAGATGTATACAACAGACAACCGCTTAAAATGGCGAGGAAGTTTTATGAAACTCTGTATGAGAATCTTGTACAGCTACATAATATCTATCAGTCTTATATCAAAGCATTAGAAAATGGCTTAGAACCTACATGTGGCTTGTCAGCTAATTTGGAAGGTGTTAAAGTTCAAAATTACAACATTGATTTTTTACTTATGCATCTTTATGATACTTTTCATATGATGGATGATGACAAAACTTCTTGGCTTGAAATTCTGAATCAGTTAAAGGCTCTGTTTTCTGTGCTTGTCAACACTTTACCTAGTATGACTGGTATTATGGCAACTGGAGAAATAGAAACTCCAATTGATAACAAAGCCACTATTGATATTTACAACAAGATTCACAAAACCTTACAACCTAAATTTTCTATGGGACATTGGTACATGGAGTGGAGGTATCTCTATAGCATATATCAAGCATTTGTTGAATGGTCAGTTGTTCCAATTCACAAGAATATGGTTGTTAAAGGTGAATTGATGCTTATCAAGGATCTTTGGAGGTTTGGAGACCAAGAATGGCACAAGGCAGTTTCAGCACAGCCAGAAACAAGTGGATACAAATTTAAACTGAAAATTACACCATACACTTTATTGTTTGGTATATTGGATATTGCTCAAAATCTTATAATTTCTACAAAAAATATTGGCACAATGGCTCATTGTTACTATCTTGCAAAACTCTCCCTGGACATAGTAAGAGAAGAGTTCATTCAATTTAAAGCAATGGAAGTTTTAATTACACTTTACAAAAAAGATTCAAAGGCATTTTCTGTTGTGCAAGTTGATCTAGATCAACATGCTGAAAGTTTTTCAACTTTGGACCAAGATAAAAAAAGGTTTCAAGACATGAGAGAATACATAGATAAAAAATATGTATATATTAATCAGGCATGCAGTAGGACAAATTTTGAAATGTCAGTGTCAAGACAGAAAGCAAAGAAAGCAGATCATAATCAGATACCAGATGAACTTTTTAATTCAAATCCAAATGACTTGTTGATTTTAGACACAGTTGCAGATCATCTCACATGTCCATTTACACAAGAAGTTACAGATAATTTTAGAATACTTCCATGTAAACACAAAATCAGTTATCTGGCATTGGCAAGTTTTATGAAGATGAACTGTCTTGAGCTGAGATGCTTTTATTGTAGAAGAAAATGTCAATTAGCTGAAACTGAAAAATTACCAAGTTCACCAATTTACAAAGCATTGTATGAAAAATTTGTCAGAGCTGGTCATATCACAGCAAAAGGAAAAGCAAAGGATTTTACAACTATTGTGGCAAGTCAGGACAATGATGATGAGGATGTTGAGGAAGCTTCTATTATAAAATCAAAGTTTTTATATCTGCTTCAAATGAAACCAAAGAGAAGTATCCGACAATTAATGAGAATGCCAATAAGTCTACATAATACATACAAGCAAGGCAAAAAAGCTCTGGATGAAAAAAGATATAGTGATGCAATATTATGGCTTGAAAAAGCACTTATTGATTATCCTGACAGTGCAACTATTCAGATTGACCTTGCTGTTGCATATCTGGAAAATTTGAACTATCAAAAATGTTATGAATACATAACTCAAGCCATAAAAAATGATCCCAACAATGCCAGAGCATGGGCTTGGCGTGGAAAATACCATATGCAACAATCAGAGTACAAACAAGCTCTTAAAGATCTTAAACAATCATTAAACATTGATGCAAGTGATGCACTTGCATTAGAAGTCAGGGGTAAAGTCTACTACATTTTGAGCCAGTATGAGATGGCATTGAATGATTTCAATCAACTATTAAAGATTGACTTGAATAATAGAATTGCATTAGGAATAAGAGGAAAAATTTATTCTATACTTGATGAGTCCAGCAATGCATTAAGTGATTTTAATAGGGTATTGGAGATTGAGCCAAATGATGTGGACATGTTAATTGCAAGGGGAGCTGTCTTGTTTAATCTTTGTCAATATGAGGATGCATTAAAAGACCTCAAAAAATTTTTGCAATTTAAACCAACTGATACAACAGCACAACATCTAAGAGGGCATACTTATCTCATGCTTGAGAAATA